TCAAGCTGTCTGATGTGGGGGACCGGCAATTTTTTTTTCCCATGTGCGTGCAAACCGGCAGCTGATGGCTCATGGTCAGGCACCAGTCCGTGGACCACCACTTTGAGTAGCACTGTGTTAGAAGGTTGGAGGCACTGGAACCATAATCATAGCAGATTCAGGAGCATAGGAAAGTGAGTCATGTGCAACAAGTAACTGGCCTATAAGGGAAACAAATTCTCTTTTTCTATCTAAACCCATTCACTGAAAACAGGGGGGAAAAAAAACCAAAAAACCCAGCAACTGACAGACAGCTACAGAAAGATTTACTGAGCAAAAACATACAAACTTCACTCCAACCACATGTAAACAGCCAAAATAGCACATAATGTACTTCTAGAATACTGTTTCAGCCAAACAAATGGTACATCTAAACCCATTAGAAAAGTAAAAAAGTAAGACCAAAAATACCCATTCAACCGAGTTAGGACTTGCACTGTCTGGTTGCCTATTTATCACTGGAAATGTGAGATATGCAGCTTCATAAGAATAATGATTACCTACATCTTGTCTGTATTAAAACAGAACTTCAGACATTTATTTAAAAAAGTTAACTATTATTTTAGTATGTAACCTGAAGAGAAAAAAAAAAGATAAACCACTTCTTTTTGTAATTATTTTCTTGAGCAGCACGTTGGAAAGGACTTTTAGGTTTCCTAAATAATCTTTATTACTTCTCACACCATAAAAAACAGAAAACAGACTGCTTAATTTTTCAGCTGAAGTTAACTGAGCTCATGCTCTTAACTTCTGATAACCAAACTGTTTGAATTCACTATCATGTTGTTTGAATTGCCATATCTGATGGGTGAGTTTTACATGAAACTATTTAATACCAGATCAAAAGAGTGAGAAAAGTAAAAGTTTAATTATTCAAAAAGAAAACAGAATAAAAACACTTAATAGAATGAAAAAATATATGATATAATGTACTAATCTTCCGAGCCAAAACACTGAATAAGAATATGTATAACGTGCTTCAACTGCTTCCCAAATGGTTGATTTCAGTAATGTTTTTAGGCAAGCTAGCAAAAGCAATCCATGTAAACAAAGCGAGGCATATCCGAACTTTGAAACCTTGTCAAAGGTGCAGCAGGCATAATGGCCAAGGGTAAACCAGTGAGCAGCATAAGGACTTGATAAAAGCAAGACAAGGCTAATGAGGAAAGGAGGGACAGGTCACATGTTTGACAAATGTCAACTGGAGGATTTGGAAAGGACATGCTTCCTCTTAAATATGGGTTTTGTGACAAGGCATTCCTAGTCTAAGGGCTCATCTACACAAGGAAGTTAGTGCAAAATAAACTAGAATATAAATACAAAGCACAACAGCTATTCAGCACTAACTCCCAGTGTGGACAAACTTATTCCTCACTAAGAGTGCCTTTGTGCTGTTTAGCTTAGCCCAAAGGCACTCTTAGGGCTTGTCTACACAGGGGAGAGGGTGAAGAAGTGTAGTACAGCAAGTCAATCCAGTTTATTTAACTCACAGTACATAAACCAGACTAATAGCATGCGTATAGGACAGGTGTGCCTCTTTCAATTTGAATCATTCTGTACACATGGCAGTGGCTTGGTGCTTACTAAGCACGTAGCTTTCTTGATGCCAACTTGCAGAGAGCATAAGGATTACAGGAACCCTCTGGGTCTTGTATTTATATTCTAGTTCACCAAAGGGTGTCATGGGAGGTCTCTAATAAAAGCGTATGTCACACTGGTGATCAGTATCACTGTGAAATGCATGTACAAGTTTATATATACACACTGAAAATTATGTTCTTGAGGTCTATGCCTAGAGACAGGTCACAAGCGAAGGTGAAAAGCAGATTTTCTTTTAGACAAGGAACATTTATTGGTTTATATATAAATTGAATATTCTCTGGTTCACAATGGGCAACCATTAGCATTCTAAATCAAATGCTAATGAAGAGCTGGCAGGGACTTCAAAAGAAAACTAACAGGAAGAGGGCCACCCTATCTTGGGGTGTACATCAAAGGTTTGTTTGGGGAGGGGAGGGAAGAGGACAGGCTAGCATCCTGTCCCCTAGGAAGTAAATGGACAGTGAGTTTGTTTCATAGAAGGGGGATCTCAACCAGGCTTGGTTGAACATGCTGGAAGAAACTTTGGGGGAGATAAGCTTCTTTATACTGTAGGATAAATTGTTAGTTAAATTAAGATAATCATAAGTTTCTAGAGCCTTATATGTAACTGTGTTTCCAATATTCTTACTCATTATCACTTGAATCTTTGTTCCTGGATAACAGATTTATAATGAAAACAAGAATAAGTTATCTAAGTGTTGTGTGTTCAAAGGAGCTGTGTTCCAAAATATAATTAGTAAGCTGCAGCGTACTGTTCCTTTAGAAACAGTAGGCCTGTCTGTGAGTGTTCAGTAGATGCTACATAGGTACACACCAACCCTCGAATCCCTAATATTCTATCACTAACCCGCACAGAGACAGCAAAGTCTATGGAAGCCCGGAAGGTAGTGCTTGTGTTGCCAGAGGCTGGTGGTTTCAGTGAGCTAAAATAAGCTTGCTCAGACAAGACTTTCTCACACTAAAGGCAGGAGGTGGTGAAGTGCCTTACAACCATGTGTATCCCTGCAAAGCATTACAGGGCTATGCCATTGGAAAGGTACCATTGCACCATTTTATAAATCTTGGTAATGCTCAGGAGATTATTGATAGCATTTGACACGTGGGATTACCAAACTGCACTAGGACAACTGATGGGAGTCATGTGTCTATTATTTGTCACAGGCTCACAGGGTTCAGAATTCATAAACAGAAAGGAGTATTTCTCTGTAGTGCTCAAAGGCCTGATTGACCACTTTGGCAACTTCATAAACATCAATGCAGTGTGCAAGGCTGGCCTTAAGGAAAATGGTGCCCTGGGCGAACTTGTATTTTGGCACATACCGAATCACCTCTGACCCCACAGGCCCCCCCCCAGCTTTTCCCCTCACCCCCATCATCTCCAGGCCCTGCTGCCTCACCCCAGTGCTTAATTTGTATTGAAAGGTTATTTTGGGCTCCCTTACACGCATTAAAGTCTGTATGCACATCAAACATGCCAATTCAACTGTTCAGTCAGTCACAAGAGTCTCCAAATCCAACCCCCTTGTGTCCCCCACATCCAACCTTGCCCCGTCTCCCATATCTAGCCCTGCACCCAGAGAGGAAGTTGCCATCGCAGCCTGGCATGCATGGACCAAGCAACCCGACCCAGCAGCAGCAGAGGCTTTCCCTCTCCACACTGTGCCACAGCTCTCCGCTGTCCAGGCTGCTAGGGATTCATTTCAGCACCCCCAGACCCTAGATGCTGCTGCTGCTAGGGGCAGAGGTCAGCGTCTCCGCAGCCATCTCCATGAGCCTACAGGTGGGACCACAGCTTCCACACTCTCTCCTTATTCCTCCCCGCCAATTTGATGCTGTCTGTCTATCCCCCATACCAAGAGGAGCTATGTGGTTTCCCTCAGGAAGGCATAGCAAGCAGAGTGGGACCCAACCACAATCCCTCCATACAGGACTCCCTGCCTCCCTCAACACCATGCCTTGTTCCTTGGCTCAGATCTTTCTCGGGCCCAGAGAGGAGCTGATGGGATCCAGCAGGAGGACTTGACAGGAGGAGCAGGACCCCAGTGCTGGCTGAAGTCCCAGCTGTGTAAGGTAATCACTGCTGCATGGCCAGGGAATGTCGGTGTGCAGGCAAAATTGGACTGGCATTGTGACCTGGCACATGGGGTCACAACGCCCCTGATATTTGGCCCAGCTGCCCCTCCATCTATACAGAGGGGCAGCTGGGCCATATTTCAGTGGCATTGTGACTCCGTGCACTAAGTGCTGGAGGGTGCCACTCCAGGCTGGATTTCAGGTGCTGGAGCACACACACACTCCCTCCCCACCAATCCAGTAGTACCATACCCCTGCCCTCTCAGCTGCATGGGCCTCTGTGCACCTACATAGGCTATTTTGTCTGCACTAGAAGAGTTGCATCACTTTAATTACTTAAAGTGGTAAAACCTGTGTGTGTATACAATAGGGCCTCATGTTGCAACTGATATATCATTAAGTGTTTCATTTCAGTGACATGTACATTTAGAGCGGGTTGAAATTTTTCAAATTTCAAAACTTCCCATTTTAGGAGGAAAAAAATTGAAACCTTCGCTTTCCCCCCAAAAAACCAACCCTAATTGTATTGTAGATTGAACTGCTCAAAAACTCTACTCCTCTACAGTACAGATGTTCCGGTTGTCTAAGTCCCTTAGCGAGTTAGACAGAATGCACAGCTGAATCTACAGTAAACTGTGGTTTTGATCTGAGGGTTGGTGCTATTGGAGCTTCCAGAGTGTTAAAGAAAGGGGGGGGAGGCACAAAACAGCTGATTTGGAGCTATCCCTCCTCTTCCCCAGCGAGTTAGAGGGTATGTGGATGTAGTGGAAGTCTGGCACTGACTCAGCCCTATAGTGGTGGGGAGTTTGTAGTTTGATCTGAAAGCAGTGGGCCCAGGGACAGTGGAAATCTTAGTCTGCTTCACCTGATTCAGCTGCTGGGATCGTTAAGACAGTGTAAGGGGTACCCGCTCCGGTAATTCTACCCGACTGTAGTTCAAAGTTTAGAAGACACGGGGAGTAGAGAGGTGGAGAAGGTGGTGCAGCCCCAGGCAAAGAAGCCAAGTAGCACACTGTGGCGGGGCAATGGCAGGAAAAGAGCTAGCACGCACTGGAGTGGGCCCATGTTGCCAGCAGCCAGGTAGGTGGTGGAGGGCAGTGGGCCTCGGCAGGCACTGATTGAGGAGGCGGGGGAGTGGACACTGCCAGGAGAAGGGTCCCCGCTGGCTCAGTGCTGCACACAGCGGGACAAGCGACAGCACAGAGAGCGGCCCTGAGACGGGGCCGGCGCGGGCGGGACTGGGGCAGCGAGGCGGAGGCCGTCTCGGGCGCGTGGACCCTACTCACCTCGAAGGCTTCTCTGATACCGTTCCAGGTCGGACTCCTCCCGGGCCTCCCGCATAGGGGCAGGGTCCACGTCTCACACCGTGAGGCGACGCCCGCTCAGGCCCTGGCCTCTAGCCGCGGCTCCCCTTCTCTGCAGCCCGGAGGAGCATGAGAGTTAGGAGCCGTCCCGAGCCTCCCGCTCCCGAGTCCCGAACCCTCCTCTCCTCCCCCAACAGCGCTCGGGAGCCGTAGTTCCGTATCGTTCACTGTCCCCTCCCACCCAACGGCCAGGGGATCTTAGGAGAACTACAGTTCCCACAGGGCTATGCGGCACCAACCTACCCTCCTGACCTCAAGCAGTTTGGGAGCCTGTTGCTAACCAACTAGGAAACGGTCTTCTCGGCCCCCAGCTGAGCGAGTCGCCTTCAGAGCTCCGCCCAGTAACGCGGCACGTACACACGCTGTGTCATCCCAAACACTACATCGCCCAGCATGCAACGCGCCATCCTCTAAGCCCTGGGAGTTATAGTCCCTACGGGCTACAACCTCCCCAAGTCTAGAAGAGAGCTGCTGCGTTCGGCTCTCTCCCTTTGTATGCGGTCAGATCGCACCTGCGCACTGCGCAACTGTTCTGCTCCAGCACATCTGTTTCTTTCCCCGCAGTGCCGGGGTGAAGCGCACGCGCAGTAATCTCAGGCAAGAGGGAGTCCATGTTTTCCTCCTTCACGCTGTGCCCCTTGGCGTATGCGGAATGCGCGCCCGCTTCGGAGGGGAGTTCGCGCCTCCATTGTCTGGATGTGGCGCAAGCGCACTGAGAGTTCGCTGGAGCGCCCTCAATCGCCCGGGCGCCTGCGCAGTAATTCTCGGAGTCGGGACTCGGACTCCGTTCGCCCCTCCCCCCCCACGCATTGTGTGTGTGTGTGTGATAGGGCGGCGCTTGCGCAGTGCCCGCGCCCCGCTCTGTGCCGTTAGCCGCTATGTCCAGGGAATAACGTTAGAGCGGTTGCTAGCGTGAGACCGACAGAGACGGACAGACCCGGAGCGTCCCGCCCCCTGGCGACGAGGAGATGGCGGGTCAGTGAGCGGCGGCGCTAGGGACACCCCTGCCCAGCGAGTCTCCTTCGCGGGGGGGTAAGTGATGATGCTCCTGCCCCATTCCCTTCCCGGTCTGAGCTGGGGCGCCGGGGGGTTGCATCGTCCGTCCCTGCGGGGTGGGGGGGTGCTCTCACTTCCCCCGTGCGCCTCCATGGCCGCCGCCGCCGCCCCCTTTGCCGTGCCGGGGGGGCGTGCGGCTGGCGCTGCCCCAGCCTCCGAGCTGGCCGCCTGCGCCGGGGGGCTTGTTCCAAGCGACTCCTCCTGGATTGCTGGCTGCTCTGCACCGTTCCCACCCGGCGGCCGCCGCCGCCTTTCCCTGCTGCTCCCCGCCCATCAGCCTGCGCTGCCCACGGGCGAGCCCGAGCCGCCGGCCCACGCTGGATGCAGATGGAGCCGCTAAATCGCTTTCTTCCTCTCCCTCCCCCTCCCCGACACAGATGTGCCCCGTGGTGGGGGGGAGGGGAGCCTTCCCTATTCCGCTGCCCCCGCGGACAGAGGCATCCCTTCCCGTCCTCCCTCACCTGGGAAGGCGAGTCTCCTGTCGTGTGGGCTTATTGTTTATAGCCAGGGTCTTTTTGTTTTTAAATCTCTCCTCCCCCGTTGACGGATTTTGTTGTTTCATTGAGTTCTTTTTATTTTTGAATCTTCCCCCGTTTCAAAACTCCCCCTAGTTGGAGTCTAGCAGCCCCTCCACACCGCCCCCCCATTAGGAGAATGAAACTCTTCCTTTAATGTGTGTGGAAAGGGAAATGAGAAAACCCATTATCTCCCCTCTTATTTGTCTACTTCCTTTCTCTCTCCCTTTCTTTCTCTCTATCTTGAGTATTTTGATAAGGTTTCTCTCTAATTGTTAACAAAACCCGCACTTTCCATTTGATAGACATGGGTTCTTACAAATGTTTATCAGGAAAAGGTAAAATAATTTGCCTTTTGTGAAAGAATATGTTGGAGTGGAAATGAATGGGTTACTAATATAACACAAAGCTGATGGCGCTTTTCAAATATAAAGCATTCTGTGGAAGAGGAAGCTGACTCGACTGAGAAGCAGATGACAGTTGTATGGATGAGCTTTATTTCATGATCTCATCCATGCACTGCTTGGAGCCGGATGCTAGTGGTTCTGCAGTGAGGGTTGGGGGAAGGAGGAGGGATTCTGTTCAAAATTGTCTTCTGGTACATTTAGTATTCAGTAAATCCAGTCTATTCATTGGCATCAGGCGGGGCTACGGTTGCGTCTCTGAATCCAATCAGAGAAATGCCAGATGCATGAAGCACACACCACAGCCATTCAGTGTAGTAGTACTGTATGTGTATGGACATTAGGAAGCTGACTCTCAATGAAAGGTATCTGAGAGCATGAGATAGTATCCAATAAGCTAAAAACTGTCTTAAATATTTTTTAAATGAGTTGACAACAGGCCACCTATTCTGCAGGGATTTAAGGGGGAGTGGGAGAAGGTTGAGGAGTGTTTATGGTTTAGATGAATTGAAGATATGACATGCCTGTTTCGGATCTTTTGTCATAAGGTGATGTGATGGGTAAACTTGTGAGTTAACCAGGCTCTCCTCAGTTGCAGTGAAATTATAGGTATTCATAAAGTATTCAACTACACTGATCAGGTACCTCCATGGAGTCCCATTCAAGTGAATTGGACTGTGCGCTGGCTCAGGATTTGCCCATATAAAACAGTATGCAGAATCAGAGCCAAAAATTGTAACATTAATATGAGCAAAAACAAAATTAAGAGTTCATGACTAAGTAAAACTATTTTCCCATGGTTGAAGAAGAGCTCTGTGGAGATTGAAAGCACATCTTTTTCACAAATTAGTCCAGTAAAAGATACTACCATACCCACTTTGTCACTCATGTTTTCACATGACTAATTTCCAGGTATTCATTGTGCCTAAGTGTTGGAGAACATATCTTATCCAAAAGGGTATTAACGTGAAATTTGTTTGCTATTAAAAAATGAGTTTAAAAACAGGTGCTCTTGAGCTTTTCTACCATTATTTATGTTTATGCAGTTGCACTTCCCTGTTTTTAAAAATGTTTTTTTCCTTTGTTGCTCGATGAAAGGCTCACAGAAACAGGGGAAACTGACTAACAAGTGGGAAAATAGTGATGCTGAATATACACAAAATGTTGTCCAAATGTTGTCAAAATAATCAAGCTGGAAAAGATAACTTAAAGATTAGAGAAAATATATTTATCTAGAAGTTACTTGATAGTAAGTAAAATATTTTCAGACAGTGTTGCAAGCTAAACTGTAAGCCATCTCTGTAAAAACTTTATTGCGATTTCCATCTTTGGCTCTGATTTTTGTATAAAATATGCTGCATTTACAAGTTGATTTGTTTTGTTTTAAAGCTGCCCGCATTGCACACTCAGGCTGGGATCTGAAAGCCAGGATGGGATTTCTTTCTTTCTTGTGCTTCATCACCAGTAATTTCTGCAGGTAGAATGTAGCTTTCAATTCTGATGATATATAAACCAGAAAATAATCCACTTCACTCTCTTGGATCTAGAAAAGTCTACTTGCTCACTGGTGGTTGGGAAGTCGGACACTTCCCTTAGTAATTGGAACAAGGCCTAAACCATCAACATTTGCAGAATTTGATCTTTCATTTAAAATATTGTTTCTAGCCCTTATGGATACAAATATAACTTATTTAATGTTAACTAATTCTGTGCTGGATCCCTGATTCTCTAAACAGATTGTTCCAGTGGCACAGTTGTTCCTGTTAGCTTTGGCAAGCAGAATGAAATTGAGGTGAATCTGATTAGTTTCACTGTAGTTCAGAACTCCCTGAGAAGCCGCAAAACTGACCAGAGTCATATCTGTCTGTCTGTGTTACTACTGAGAAATCTACTAACAGAAGAGACAGGCATTGCAGCTGTTCATGAATTAGGAGAATGAAAAGTTGCAGAATCCCTTACCGCTATTTCTCAACAGCCATGGGGTTGTTAGAAGGACAGAATAGCAGAGAACCCCCCTTTGCAGAAACTGTTGCCTGGAGCAGTGGAAACCCTCACACATTCCAGCAACCAGGAGACTGTTGAGGAATGGGGAGAAGAGAGAGAGCCTCATCTCTTCTTGGGGCTTCTGATTTGTTAATCAGAAACTGGAAATAATAAAGGTGAAGCCCCCAAGAAATGTTTGAGTACAACAACTGCTAGGAATTCCAGCATCCTCCTTTTCCCTAGCAGCAAAGGGTTTTGTAGTGATGGTGCCAAACTTTGTCCGTTGATCTTATTGTAGAGCTTTTTTCCGTCTTTTGTACTAGCCTCTGGCTATTAAGTTTCTGGTACATTTTTAAACCTCACCCTCATCCTGTAGCTGTATTGACCAGCATTTCTTTTTCTGCCTCATTCAATACATTTCTTCAACAAATAAGGCAAAGACTTATGGTCAGTTGCCTCCTTCACTATGCTACCGTGATTCATCAGTAGAGCTGAATGAAGCAGGTGTCTTGGGGGAGGGGAATAGTATGTGATCATGTAATTAAAGACTCTTTTCTATCTTGACTTTAGTAAGGCTTTTGAAACTGTCTGATATGACCTTCTCATAAACAAAAGAGTGAAATATAGCCTAGATGAACTGAATATAAGATGAGTGCACAACTGGCTGGAAAACCGTACTTAGAGTAGTTAACAATGGTTTACAATTGAGGTGGAAGGACATATCAGGTGGGGTCCTTAGTCGAGTCCAGTTCTATTCAATGTCTTCATAAATGATTTAGATAATGACATAGAGAGTATACTTATAAAGTTCGCAGACGATAACAAGCTGTCACGGGTTGCAAACACTTTGGAGGACAGGATTAGAATTCAGAGTGGTCTTGATAAGCCGGAGAAATGGTCTGAATTAAATAGGATGAAATTCAGTAAGGACAAATGTAAAGTACCATGTTTAGGGAGGAATAATCAGTTGCGCACACATAACATGTGAAATGACTGCCTACAAAGGAGTACTGCAGAAAAGGATTTGGGGATTATAGTGGATTACAAACTAAATATGATATTTAGTTGTACTTTTAATGTATTATGTAATATTGTTGCAAGAAAAAGCAAACATCGTTCTTAGCTGTATTAGCAGGCGGGTTGTAAGCAAGACATGAGAAGTAATTCTTCCACACTACTGGCCTCAGCTGGTGTATTGTGTCCAGTTCTGAGCACCACACTTCAGGAAAGATGTGGACAGATTGGAGAAAGTCTAGAGAAGAGTAAGAAGAATGGTTAAAGGTCTATGAGGAAAGATTGGGAAAAAAAAATTGGGGTGGTTTAGTCTCTAGAAGAGAAGACTGAGGGGGGACATAATAGTCTTCGATACATAAATGGTTGTTATAAAGAGGAGAGTGATAAATTGTTCTTCTTAACCACAGAGGACAGGACAAGAAGTAATGGGCTTCAATTGCAGCAAGGAAGATTCAGGTTAGACATTAGGAAAAATGTTCTTACTGTAGGGATAGCACTGAAACAAATAACCTAAGGAAGTTGAGGAATCTCTGTCATTGGAGGTTTTTAAAAACCGGTTAGACAAATACCTGTAAGAAATTGTCTAGATAATACTTACTCGTGCCTCGGTGCAAT